ACACCTCTTGACCTGTTAAAGACCTTGAATCGATATACCAACCACAAGACTTCTGCGCACTATCCCCCATACACATGCATTTCTAGCGGATGAGCCGCGCGACCCCACGGATCCCCCACTACTACAATGACCGCAGCTATGAACCATTACGAAGCGGGCGAAATGGCGCTGCACCGATTTGTAACGAGTATTTCGTTTGACCTGGGCACACAATAACGAATTTCCTTACGAACGGACCGCTTTTAACACGTCGTCTCGCGACAGGCACGGACGACGCGGTCCGAGCGATGGACAGCGAGACCGTATGCGATATCATGTAAATATCGATACGAATTCTACAACTGACAATACTGAGATCTATCACCAGATGCAGCTCTAACAATAAGCACGACGCACATAACCCGCTAGAGCGCGATCACTGAGCCCTAACGAACTGCGCACGCGAGCGAGCTATGTCGCTTACAGTCTGGGAGAATTGGAGCGAGACGATCTAAACACTCACTGTGGCGTAGCGACTAGTAGCGCGTTATCGATGGCGCAGATCTGATGAACACATCTATTCCTCGCCGTTTTATACGTCGACTGAAAGCCGCAGGCTTGACAGCACCGTGTGCATGTAAAACACACACTAACACAGCCACCTTATAATATATGTTACACATTATCTGCACTCGCTCCTATCCATCGAGCCGCAAACCGACTCACGCCCAAACCAATGATGATTCAAGACTTCTCCAGACTAGTGTCTACTGGACGTTCCAGCATCTCCAAGTCTCCGATGACATGAGCGCCTCGACAAACGCCACTTCCAGCCTATCCGAGAGCAGCAAACGTACAGCGACCGGCCGCTAGCGCTCAGAGCTGCGCACATGCAATATTATTTCGTATTACACGGCGCCCGCAATGGCGTTTGTTATATATTCGAATGGCCCACAGAAAAGCTCGCGAGGAGACATCGTGTCACGTTGAGCACGTATGTTCAACGCTGTATCTATCGGTAGAGAATTGAGCGCGAGCGTGATACTACGAAGGAATAACATGCACATTCGTACGACTGATCATTCTTCCATTCGAGTCTTCGATGCTGAGATCACACATTCCCCCTCCCTATTACCTACTCCCTGATTATATATATATAGATAAAGTTATACCGGACACGTAGAATTTTGACTCTGTTTATTGCATACAGAACTGTTTCGTGTGGAGCGAAAGCTGCCGGACTCATCAGTGCCTAATACAGAGTGATCTATTTAGAACATCCCAGCGGCAGTATATCCAAACCATCCACTGGAAACAATTTTTACTACTCAGCGTCTAAGCTTAAGTAGTGGGCGAAATGGCTGCACTTTGCAATCTGTTGGATAACCGAGCCACGGGAGCGAGTGCATAATAGAATAATATCACTTTTATCACACGGCTCCGATTTATATACGAGCGAAGCGCGGGAGCGCGAGCGAGCGAACGTGGCAATGGTAAAGATCTGATAAAAAATTCACTCGGCGTCTCAGCATGCGCGACGCATCTCGATGAGTTCGCCGCAGAAGCCTATTCGTCTACATCACGAAAATGGATTGCGGCGAAAAGTGCGGCCAATGAAACACGCGTCATATTCTAAGCAAACGTCTGCGGTCCGACGTTGACCTGGCCATAGAATTTCCTTCGCCGTTCTCATACGATCTCGCACCCATGAAGGCGTGTCCGGGCATCAGAGCAATCCGTTATAACATATAATTGCGCTCTATGCTACATAGGTACGTTATAGAGCTGACACTCTACATACATACTCACCGTTCGACTCTGACAGCAACCGCACGCGATCCAGATCAACACACACACAATATTGCGCAGCTAAGCTACTAATTAGTATGGGTCGATATCGCGTCATGCATAACGAGTTTGACGGTAACGTTGTAACACTTACGCGGCAATACAGATTCCTTTACTAATATAATCTAACGCACGCACGCACCGCACGCACGCACGCACGCACACACGCACACACATATATAATTCTACAGTATTCAATACGCAAGCAAATTAATTCATTAATTAATTCATTATTTATTCATTCATATTGAGGCCGTCCGCAAACATGATGCTCAACGAGCCAGTGAATAGGGAGGGACTCGCGGCATGTGTGACTGCGTCCTTTCCGGGCAAAGTTTATTGTCAACCCACGCGCGACGATACCTTACAAGCCTATAGAATCAGTTTGCTGTATCAGCTTGTGTGTGCACACATACATGTGACAGTATATATACACGCCCACACGCACGCGTCCACGCACGCGCGCCCACGCACACACACACACACACACACACACTATATAATACCATACTGTCATCATATGGCCGCCATGCTGGGCGTAGAAAAGTGTAATTGCGCCCAGTTTTATTCTAGCATAACTAATTAATTTGTTTATACGCCTCATCGTTATAGTAATTGCCAACTTCACATATACGTCTAACACCACCTGCTTGTTGCTTCTCCTAGATATGATCAATCTTGCATTGCTGAAGTACAGGGAAAATTCCAGTACAAATTCCAAACCACTTTTCCAGGCAAATATTTTGTTGAGTTTGAATTTTATTTTAATTTGATAATAATTATATGGAAAGTATAAGATAACTGTACATATTGAATGTTACTGTAAAACTACAATTAATAAGCCTATAGACAGAAGTATAGGCGAAAACACACTTACATGTTTGAAATGTTATTACATGTTGCAACAATTATTACAATAGAACTTCTACAATTTAGTTTTTGACACAAATTTTACAACACCATAGCCTGCCAAAATTGGTGATATTTTGGGTAATACATAAGTTTACAAGTACATTGGTACAATTCAATACTTATATCACGTTCCCACCACTGCCAAACATCCTATTCCACTCCACATAAGAAACAAGATCTTTTTCAGAAACACTTGGGCGAACATGCTCCAACGCGTCCAAGAAATCTTGCATGATGATAGGCCGAACCTAAAAAATTGAGTTTTGGCTTGAAAAAAATTCAACGAAAATTAAAGACCAGTTAATGAAAATTTCGCAGCATGAAGTAGCATCATTTCTCACTTTGTTTGCTTTCATTTTTTGACGATTTATTGATAATATTTGACATCATTTTGCACGGTTTCATTTCTATATTTGATTATTATATCACAGTCATTTGATTATTTGTATTATAATTTATATAGTGTGAAGTGTTTTGCCCATAGTGAACGTGTGCTAACTGCTAAAATATGACCAATATAGAGGTGACACTGCACCCCTACCAAACAATTCTATACCTCATCTGCTTTGATAGTTTCAATGTCAACGATGCTCCTGATTGGACCGAGCGCTGCCTCCCTGCAAAGGTTGGCCACATCTGCTCCAGAATACCCTAATTTAGAGATGATACATTACTTATATATATGTACACAAACACATACATATACACGAACGCACGCACACACGAATGCACGCATGCAAGCACGTTCGCACACGCATACACACATGCAAGCACACGCACATATGCAGATAAGGTCTATGTCTCCCTGACCTCTGTTTTACCTGGCTCGTTTAGCTATTTCTGACTAACCCTAACCCTGGTAACTATCTTATATGGTTAGGGTTAGGGTTCGGGTTAGGGTTAGGGTTAGTCAGAAATAGCTAAACGTGCCAGTTCAAACAGAGGTCAGGGAGACATATAGACCCTACAGGCCGCACATATACCGTAAAACCCAATAATGTGATAATTGAAGACCAAGAAATTTGATTGTGTAAAAAGTTGGGGTCGCATTATAGCAGGGTAATTATGTTTGAATTTTCTGTTAGTCAGTTATGCTATTACAGTAAAACTTGTCAAAGTCAACACTTTTGAGACCAGCATATTTGTGCCGACTTACGAAAATGACGACATACGCGTAAGTCGTCATTTTGTCGACTTATATGTAAGTCGCCCAAATGACGACTTATGCGCGTATATCGTCATTTTGACCATTCACAAAGCCGGTATTTCAACGACTTGGAGAGTGTCAAGCTGATATTTCGCCAGGCTTTATCTCTACATTAACTACTTTGCGACGCGAGGCGACTGTTTCCACACGAGCTGGAAAAAACACAATGCGTCCAAGTGAACAATGCGAATGAAACAATCAGTGCACACAGCAACAACTCATGTAAACTCAGTTGCGCTATCTACAGGCGATCGTCGGTTTGACCTAAAGCCGGGCACACACGTGGCGATTTTTATCGCTAGTACTGGCGATCTTGTTGCCGGCGACAGAATCGCCGAGAGATCGCCACGTGTGCGCTGCATGGCGATGGCGATTTTGACGCCAGAAACATGTTTGATATTTGTTGCCGAGTCGCTGAACAATCGCCACGTGTGCGCTGCACTGGCGATGGATTCAGGCAACAGATTTTGGATTAACTAATCAAATGCATGATTTGAAGCACGTGATAATTGATGGCAGCGCCCTCGGTGTGGGAAAAAAGCAGGAGGATGAGCTTGTTGAAATGTGGCAGGAACGCCCGTGTCTTTTTGACATTACGAGTGACATTGCATTGTCGCCTGGGTCCGTGTGTGCCCAGCTTAAGCGCATATCTGCGACAGCCAGCTCGCACATCCCCTAGTCCGTACAATGTGCCATCGGCATTTCTGATGATGACTTACAGATGGGAAATTACTGTTGTTTGTATTACATGGGACCTGTCTGAGGGCGACGACTTGCACATAATGACGGCTTATAAATGACGACTTAGGCGAGGCTATTCCAAAGGATTTACTATGAGAGAAAATCGGGACTTATGCGAATTGACGAGTTAGACGATGACGACTTATGTGAGTTTACTGTATCACCCTGTTCTGGCCAATATGCATGTGAGATATAACTTAACGTTTACATATTAAAATGAAAGTGTCAATGACACTGGTGCTCAAAAAAGGGCACAAATGAGTGAGTGCGTCATTTTTAATTCAACAACCATCGACCTAGATTATATCAAACAAGAGTATATATGGGAGAACTCCAATTAATTATATAGCATATCTCCGATTATATACTGTTGATAATTATGTATGCGGAAAAAGAAAATGAGGAGAGGAGGAGGAGGAGGAGGAGGATAAGGAGGGGAAGGAGGAGGAGAAGGAGATGAATTAGAGGAGGGGGAGAAGCTGGTAGAGGAGGGTACAGTTATGGTTAGAGTTAAGGATATGGGAAAACATAAGTACTACTGTAAGAATAGCATAATATGGGAACACTACCCCTGTAAAGATACAGGTGTGTATCTTCAGGCTGAGAGCTAAAGATACGTGTGTATCCGCAGCCACTGCCTATAATATACTAGGCAAATGCGCAGTTTAGCCACCACAGTTTTAACAGTATTTAGTGATACTATACTAAAGGTATTAATTAGACTTCTAATTCATTCCTTCGTTGCTCTTAGCATAAAATAACTACTTTCTAGTAACGTATGTACTACAAAATCGCAACCCCCCCGCAAAAAAATGCAGCAAACACGCAGTTGAGAATGACTCAAAAGTAGGTCGACTGGCATGCTCCAAAATAGGACCCTGTCATCTCTCCCATACAATTAACAACTGTTTTGGGGCTATAGCCTTACACATGGACATACCAAAATTTAACAAAATCCAACAAATCTAGATGGCCATTTTCATTTTTCCCAAAAAGTGGGCATGGATCGAAAGTAGGTCGACTGGCGTGCTCCAAAATAGGACGTTGAAATCTCTCCCATTGGAGTAACAACTGTATGCAATTTGAAACATGTGGGTCAAACTGTTCTTCAGTTATCGTTGACCGTAGGCAGACACTGAAATGCATAGTGAAATTGGCAAAATCTACCTAATTTGCATAATTTAAAAAAATATATCAAAACCCCTGTGATATGTTTTGGGGCCAGTCCTTATTCATTCACATACCAAAAATGAGCAAAATCCGTTGAACCTGAACTGACTTATGGCCATTTCCATTTTTGCCAAAAAAATGGGCGTGGCTCGAAAGTAGGTCAACTGATGTGCCCGTTCAGACCTCTCCCATAGGAGTAACAACTGTATGCAATTTGAAACATGCGGGTCAACCGGTTCTCAAGTTATCGTTGACCGTAGCCAAATGTTGACGGACGGACGGACATACGACGGACAATGCCCCATGGCAATAGCCCATCTTGACGATGTCAAGGTGAGCTAAAAATGGGGAAAAAGTATTGATTAGTGTCAGAATGCTATTAAATCATTCTGGCTTTCAATACTGAATAAGTAAACTGTAATTGATCAATATATGTTGCCATATGAGAAATGCGCAGAAGAAAACAAAAGGTAAAAGCAAGAGAGAAGAGGACAAAAAGGAAGCCAAGTGATGTTGGTTTTATAATGGGGTTCTACTAAACTTAGTTTAAGAAACATTTTACAGATGATTTTAGAAGCAGTAAATGGGTGCAATAGGAGTAAATAACAAGCACATTTCTCACAGCTACCCTCAGCTTAGCCCACCCCATCCCAGCCTAGCCTATCGACGACACTATTACTGATTGAACGCACCTTCGGTTTTACTAGCTATGCTCTCTAAATCTTCATTGATGAGCTGGTGCTCCTGGCCAGACAGTAATTTTTCTACAATCTGCTGTCTTGCCAGTACATCAGGCAGTGGAATGTACAGTCGCTTCACCAGCCTTCGCCTAGCCGCCTCATCGATCTCCTGTGGTCTAGAACATAGACAAGATGGCACATTCAGTGCTAGCTGATTGCCACGCATAGAGAAACCACAAAAATGACGTCGACAAACCATTGGGTCAGTCTCTAGAGACTGCACTTCACACGCACACCTCTGTGCAGAGAGTCTTCTACCTGTTTGTCGCACCAACGACGAGCAGGCGCTCGTCGTCGGTTGTTGTGGCGCCATCTAGCTGCACAAGAAACTCCGTTTTGATTCGGCGCGAGGCCTCATGCTCAGTGTCACTGCGCTGGGAAAGCAGAGAGTCGATCTCATCGATGAATATCACGGCTGGCTGGTGACATCGTGCCACAGCGAACAGTGCTTTCACCATCTTCTCTCCATCACCAATCCACTTAGATGTCAGTGAGGATGCACTGATGCTGAAAAACGTCGACTTGGACTGGCTTGCGATGCACTTGCCTGTAAAACATGAAGGATGTGAGATTACAAGTACCACAAGTTGACTAGTGTAATACCCCGAGCCATGGTACACACTCACACATAAAAACCACTGAAAGGCAAACAGCACAAAACGCTTTAAAAAACAATATATTTTTCCAATTTCTGTTGTTAGGTGGCACTAACAACTTTGAATCAAGCTGTATGATGGAAGGATTATTAATGTGTTCAGCAAATATCCAATAACGATGTAATATTTTCTACACGTTATAAGGCTCTTACAAATAGCAGTACATATACCATTAATAGCAAAGGATCGGATTAACCTATGTATATTAAAATATATTATATATATGTATATATATATATATATATATGTATATATATATATATATAGAAAGAGAGAGAGAGAGAGAGAGATAGGGAGAGAGAGAGAGAGAGAGATAATGAGAGAGAGAGCTAAAGAGAGAGAGAGGGAGGGAGAGAGAGAGATGGAGCGAGAGAGAGAGAGAGGGGGTATAGACCTTGCAGTTCAATATAATAGACAGGCAGTCCATAGATGCAGTCATAACTATATGATTTAAACAAACTTATTTATGCTCTCTAATCAATATTCCTCAACACCTATTATAACCTTTCATAAGAATAATTGTTTTAAATGCAGATATAGCTTACCAATAAGTGTTTTGCCTGTGCCTGGAGGACCAAAGAGCAGCAGTCCTTTTGGGGGACCTCTTAAGCCAGTAAATATGTCACTGCAAGGAAAATTCAAGTTTGTAATTTTCTTCCTCCATACTAAATTTGTTATCCATTCCTATTTATACATCTAGTATAATTTTTAATAAATCATGATTTACATATAATGAAGCTACCTATAATAGTATACACATGATACAACACAGGTGTTTATAGCAACGTGTAATATGTGATAACGCTAACTATTGTAATTGTGCACATACGGTCTCAGCATTGGCCACACGACTATTTCCTTTATAGTTTTCTTTGCAAACTCCAGTCCAGCAATATCCTTCCAAGAAACATGTTGTCCATGCTCCATAATCTCAAAGTAAAAAGATTTTGTAAGCATTAAAGAGAGAGAGAGAGAGAGAGAGAGAGAAAGAGAGAGAGAGGGAAAGAGAGAGGGGAATATTATACAAGTGCCGCGGAGCGACAGCGCTCATCTCACGTCTACTGCGGTGACTCTGTGGTGGAGTGGTGGGATTCTAGTAAACCCTGTTAGTCCCAAATGTGTTCACATATGCGCCAAAACAGTAGAAGACACAGGGATGGTATCAGGAACCTTCTCGAAGGAATGTTCATTGGGATCGTTATGAAAGTTGCCACGAGATGGCGCAGACCGTACCTCGCCTACTCCACTAACGATCGAGTCTATGGAGTCGCCTACGCCTACTCCCTAACCCTAACCATATCCATATCAGATAGTTACCAGGGTACGTTCCGGTATACCGGACCGTACCCAGCAGTGGCGCCTGCAGATAGAAGCACTGAAAGCACAGTGCTTCCAGTAAATTTTGGGTTAAAAAATTTTGTTTCTACATTTTGTTCCTAAATCTCTCGCAAGACTCTCCAGATTGCATCGCCAGACGTCTACCATTCAAAAATTTTCAGGGGGAATTAACATGCCCCTGACTCCCCTAGAATGCAGCGCGCCTGCTTTTTATTATCACTGAGGATTTTATCCTTCTGTGCTTCTACTTTCTTAAGACCTGTGGGCGCTAGTGGTACCCAGGGTACGTTCCGGCAGTACCCTGGGGGACATAGACCCTATAAGCCTAACTAAGTATGACTTCAAGTGCCTGTGCCGTGGGCCGTGGCGTCACACAGCCTACTAGCCCGACGAGGCAGTGCGACTGATTGTTTATAAATACAAAGTGATTAGCAAGACCGTTTCTTGGAGCAGTCTACACATTTACATAGCTATAGTACTAGAGCTACACAGTACACTGACACTATGTGTTACACATGCGTCTAAACAGAGGAATTGCTCCGACCTGTGATTGGAGAGGAAAAAAATAGAATTCGTGACGTTTCGTTCCACCGGTCATAGCCGCGCGTGTATTAGCCTATGAGCGATACCGCGTGTGCATATTTGCTAATTAATTAAACTAAGCGTGCTTCAATAGACTCAAAATTCACAGAGATTAAAGCTAAGACATGTGTCTATAAGAGTAGTGTACATTAACAGCTAGAATTTATAGAAATGTAACTCAAATCGTTCACTCCATATAATAGTTAGTACACGTTCCTACCGGTCATAGCATGCATTAGCACGCGTATGCGGCGGGAGTGGGCGGGGTCTATTTTTATCCTCCAATCACAGGTCGGAGCAATTCCTCTGTTTAGACGCATGTTGTGTTACGTGTCGTGTGTAAACAGGGCCGGCCACAGGATGCATGGTATGTCGTTTACACGGCTGCACTCTGCAGTCTCGGTCACTGGCAGCAAGAACAAGCCCGCAGGTACAGCACACATGCAGCCATTGACTATAATAACAACATTGTTATTATACGTTGTTATTATAGTTGTTATTATTATTATTACGTTACAACGTTGTTATTATAGTCAATGGCCGCATATATATATGTGCTGTAGGCCTACGTACGGGCTTGTTCTTGCTGCCAGTGGTCTTGGTCTGCACTGCAGTGCGCCTGCACGTAAACCCCATCATTCAATGTTCGTAATTAACTCATGTCTAAATGGCAAGTACTATTATAACTACTACTACTAGTACATGATGCTATACACCGACTATCACGAGCCTAGGTCGAGCCGTTTAGATTTGTGCCGCAATTCTGCATTTCCTCCCTATACCTTAAGTTAAAGAGGGAATGTTCCCCCTTCTTTTACACCTCTTGACCTTTGACCTTTGCCTCCCAGCTTCGACATCCCAACTCGTTTTCGGATTACCCCCCCACGTCCCAAATATCGTCACCGTACGTCGAGCGGTTAAGATTTGTGCCCAATTGTTGACGGACGGCTGGACGGACAATCATGCGATTCTACAAGCTGCACCTGACTACGTCAGATGAGCTAAAAATCACAGTTAGCACTGCAATGAAGTAATACTCCTATTTTAAATACAATACTTCTTAAATCTACATCCATATTTTTTAACAATGATTAGCTATAGATCAATTTGTACGTGCAATGAAGATTTCGTTACAAATTAGCCTAGATACCTCCGATCTAACAAGAGCGACCATTTTTGGGTCAATGTGCCGTAGCCGTTCATCAACTTCCTCGTCCTCCAGCATATTGTCTCCTGCCCCATCCCTTCTCATCATTGTCCCACCCCCTGAATCCTCTTGGTTTCGGCCCAGTACTGGCGGTATGAACTTTCCATTAGGAGCACGCCTAAAAAATGTAAAAGAGTAGACATTAAAACATTAGGAGTAGATATTAAATCCATTTTACATTCACTTGATTATAGAGAAATTACAAAATATGTCCCAAAAAATAAATCACGGATCATAAATACTAGATATTCAACAAACAAGACATTGCTTAAAAGTGACACAGCAATTTATGTCTGACTGTCTGTCAAATAGATATTTTACCTGGCTCCAAGTGACTTCTTCTGGTTGCCATATGATTGCACAGACAAGCTGCCAGAAGCTAAGCCATATGAATACTCCTCTCTCTTACCATACTTCGTCAGATATTCAGCTTCCTAACATACAAAAAAACAAAAGTATAAGCTCCAGGGCCTAATCCAAGCCATTTTTCATACCGAATACCGGCACCAAATTACGACCCCCTAGCAAAACGCCCAAATTACAAAATTCATAAAACGCCCAAATTAGCAGAGCTCTGATGCAGATCTCCATGTTTCTATCGTTATGTAGGCACTGTTTTATAATAAAATGCTCATATAAGATCTAATATCTATTATCTGAATAAAATGTGTCGACCAAATGCCAAATTTAATCAGGAGTCGATCAATATTGATAGACTCCTGATTTAATGTGATAGATAAGTATATATATAATTTTTTTACACTCGCTACGCTCGCCATGGGTGCCCATATTAAGCAGCTAGATTAGCCCCTGAGCTCAAACCAAAAAACAAACATTTCAATGATCTGTTAAAAGCTCACTGTTACATCTCAGTGTTTATACTATTGCTAGTTTTACCCACCAACTGCTGTCCTGCAGTTCTGAAGGAGGATAAATAAGCTTGTGGTTCATGGTCGATTCTTCTATTGCCACGCGTCTGCTTTAATTCCATTTCCAATGATCTACCACAGTCAGAAGCAAAGGAAGCAGCCTATAAGTATGGAAGATATACACGATTTAGTATTTTGCGGTTTTCTTGCAACTGACGTGACAATAGTTGTTGCGCACAAATTTGACACTATACAACTATAGTCTCTTTTGTTTAACAAGTGCCGCAGAGCGACAGGGCTCATCTGGTGTCTGGTGTTCTGCTGATAAATTCATTTGTGCATAGCAAGACGCCCTATACATACGTTCATTTCCATCCCAAAAAAAACAACACTTCAAACTAGTGTCATAAAATTCCGATAGATGGCGGGCCGCTATCAAAGGCATCGTTGAATCGGTCAGCAAAAGCATTGCAGCAATGGCAGCTGTCAGTGTGATGACGAATTGCAAAAAGCAGGAGCGAATAATTACCATATTATTACTATACATAACGTGCGTTCTATGGTGTCAGGTAATAAGGTACATTAAACCCCTTGCGAGGCACATCTGGCTCGTTAAAAATAGCTCAATGGTTGATACAACCAGAGGCAGAGCAGCTCGTGCAAGATTACAATTTACAGCAATACGATAATTTCAGTACAAGGTAGGCCAGTGATTAGTGGACCGAATAAGCTCAAGAACGTACACACTTGCGTCTATATTGGTGCCAAAATTTGATGAGAAAATTAAGTCTGGGAAATCCGCAGCCTCACTCCTGGGTAATTATTTGAGTGCTAGTGACTGTATCCCAACTATTCATAATGTAGACTTACAGATTCTAGATATAAGTCATGTCATTTATCTCCTAAGTAAGCATTTTCAAGTAAGAATTAATGTGTCCGGAATTTCACTGTATAAATGGGAGCGCTTTCCACAGACCCACAGGTACTGCCACAACGCAGTTGAGAGAAACAAATCCATGTATTAACCCTGGCCTCTTGAGGGTTAAAAGGTTATCCGACACTTACCTGCTTCGGCATGCTTCAGCGGAAAGTACATTTGGATGGTCTTTCAATGTAAAGCCATAAAAAATGCTCGGTCACCACTGAAACAAGAAAAAGTTTTTCAATCCTCTCGTCAGACCATGTGCCTCAGAAAAATGTCTAAAATCTGCCTGTGCCCATTGCGCTTTGACCCTGTGACGCTCCCAATTTCGGCACAGCTGATCGGCGTTTTCGCTACCATGATGCTATAGACTGGACTAATCACGAGCCTAGGGTGCCGAGCCGTTTAGAATTTTGTGCGCAATTCGCATTTCCCCCGTATACCTTTAAGTTAAGGAGTGATATGTTCCCCCTTCTTTCTACACCCTTGATCTTTGACCTTTGAACCCCAGCTTCGACATCCCAACTCGTTGACGATTCCCCTCGATGTGCGATAATCGTGACCAGTACGTCGGAGCGGTTAAATTTGCTGCCAACTGTGGAGCGACGGGGACGACGGACGCACGGGACGGCGACGCCACGCTCATGCAACTTCTACAAGCTGCCATCTGCACTATGTCAGATGAGCTAAATCAGTGTTTCAAGGACACACACAAAATACGCTACACACATTAAGCCACTGCCTAGCAAGTGATGTGCAACAATAATTACTTTCACCTCAACAGGTTCGGCTGAATCTCGTTCAGCCAGGCATAGGTGCAGATGGCTTTCTTCTACAGGCAAGCTTGCTGTTTTATGCATGATAAAGATCTGTAAAGCCAATACAATAGCTTCCCACAAGAAAAAAGCACTATGTAACTAAATAACTAGAGTATATATCACAGTATCTAAAGCAACGATATTCAAAATTTTGCAAGTTCATTTTCATTAAATAAATGTAAAATTCAAAATACAAATCAGCAAATACATTCTGTCTTCCTCTTCCTGTATCACCCCTGCATCTGGCAGTTTCTCCACATTCAGATCCGTGTCCTATTACCATTCGCAGTGAGCTTGAGATTACGACTTCTTGTCAAAAATTTCCGCCAAATCCTACGATGACGAACACTTACAACATGATTTCTCTTGGGCACTCTAGAATTGACTTTCGTACGAACTTCAACTACATGGACTGATGATTGACTATCCGTATATATATACATGAGAAACTAATTTATTTAAAATTGATTGAGCTAATTCCAAATTGTAAAATCAAACCCATGACTCAACTGATATAATCTGGTTATATGTTATTACTGTAGTATCCTTCTCTGCAGGAGATTTTTGACATAGTGCATTTTTATAGTGATGCATTTAGCCATTTGTTACATTATGGCAATAATTGTGCCAATGCAAAACCACCAATTTAAACCCATAATCATGCTTACTGCAAATATATTATAGCAAGTATGTGTAGTAAACCATTACATTTATATAGACATACATATACAACGGTACTCATGGTTGCGCCATCGTAATCAGAAATTAGCTGCCCTTTCTACCCAATCAGGGCTTGTTAACACATAATTTAACCAAGACTAAATACTTTTTACTGCCAGTTAAATATAATTTACACCGCTGCCCACATTAGACCCCTTTTTCACCCACATCAGACCCTTAATTGTTACACATGATTCTTTAAACCACAGATATAGATTGATTTGAAACCGCAGTTAAATTTATTATGTTACAATTACCTCTGATTGGTGAAGGCCCTATAACCTTTTACCGTGTTAAAGTTATTTCCTTACGCCGGGGTAAAAAGACCAATTGTTCGAAGTACAATGGCCAACCATACACGGTACGCCATGTGGAGCACACATACACACACATACATTATGCTGCCAAATAATGTTATGCGTCAATTGTATCTACTAATACGTAAAAGTAACCTTTTTCATATCAGAACTAGAGAAAGTTTATACTGACCATAAAAGGTAGGCCCTGGTTATGGTAGTCATTATCAGCTTGCAATGATGTTTTCCTACGCATCGCCATAGATTCTTGTGGTGAGCTGATCTCTGTGCATAATCAACCACTTCAATGTGATGATATACATGTAGAAATATCACTAAACGAACAACGCGGTCTTAAACGAATGACGTTAGCACTGGTCTGGCCCTCGTTGATTTATATTATGCATGGCATGCGTTGCCTCGGTTAAAGGGTGAGACGAAAAATCTATTCAGACCTACGAAGTTAGCCCTATTCAGCTTCAATAATCGTATTGAAACAAATGTACTTCCTGCTTCTACTGGTAGCCTTATTGGTCATTCTGGCCACGGGTCACCAAAGCAGATAGCCAACCAAACTGTCTGCCACGTTGTTGTTTGCAGAAAGTTACTTCTGGACTTTTCTCATTCTCTGAACAAAGTGGTGACGCCCTCAGAACACCTTCTACTTGTCACTATATTCATTTACCAGATGGCGGAGCTGGCATCATCACTAATACTGCATAAAGATAACAACTCACCTAGCAAACATGAAAATAAACATATAAAACGCAGCGAGATGAGTGGCATACAGTCCGTCGATATGAGCTCGCTCTGACACGAACAATCTACAAAGTTCAGCTCAAAAATTTGGATTTGCTTCAAACGTCTTTATTTGCTTCCATTTGTGATGTATTGAAGACATTGAAGACTGATAAAGACATTTGAAGCAATCCAATTTTGAGCTTGAACTTTGTAATTTTCGTGGTCACCGGGCCATATCATTCAATTTCTTTGGCCGGAACTAAGCAGTTTACTGCCGCAATGCTAGGCTTACTGGTGTCCCCTTCAGACAGCACAAAATGGTAAAATTTGGGGAAAAACTGGAGAGCTCATTCACAGTGACTTGAACCTGGCAGACACAAAGCGCAAGTAGAGCCAGTGCATCAAATGGCTTCGAACATACACGTGGTCGAGTCGTATCAGCCGCCCGTGATGTAGCGCAATGGTGTTGTCAAACAAACAACCCCTAACATAATCGCCGTTTAAACCTGTTATTAATCTTAAATACTTCACCGCAGCCAAACCTATAAATATCCGGCTTGTCTGCTATTCTAATAAACAACTATACCTTATGTTACTCTTCTCACAAACAAATAACCATCGCTCTTAAAAAGATTTCCCACAATAAGATTTTAAATCTGATTAAACAAAACAACAACAAAACTTTTCGCTCAGCGAAACATCCTCCCCCTCGGATGAGGACTTTTCCTCATACACCTTTAAAACCTCATTTCAAGACCTAAATATATTAACGTACACACATATATGCCTTTTACTCAAGCCGTTTTGATTTTACTATAGGCCTAGATGTGAATTTCTTACACTGGTCTACCCAGTGATCCGGAGAGCTGCACAGGTCCTTCCTGCTTATTCACCTCCTGATGCAAAAGCCTCCTGACGAAACCTATCCCCTCCATTTCACGGATCTGCTGGTCATGGTATATGGATTAAAAATTAAATAGAAATTTTTTTAGACTTTCAACTCACTAAACATGCATTACAGATTTAAAATTTTAGCAATTCAGAAATCAGCACTCACTATAATCAGGAGTGGATAATAGAGCTAGATCACATCTCTATTATCCACTCCTGCTATAATGATGTCACTGCGTTGTGCTCACTATAACAAACCACATTTTATATGCTTACTATTTGGATGCATGTGCAAACTTCACTAGAGCCATAACTTCTGTTAGAATCCTTGCATTCTGAGATGGAGTTCCTCCTTGCTTTAGCTGCATTTGCAACTGCTGTAGTTGATGCAACAAGGAAGCCTGTCCTCCTCTCATATCCGCCATTCCAGTTGGTCCAAGTTTACTTTGAATCTTTCTGTAAATAGCACAGGGCACGTTTAAATTGACTCTTAGTTTTAGGTTTTCAGATAACACACACTCAGAATGAAATGATTGCAAAATTTTACACGCATACGTTTAGCTTCCAAATTTTATTTTTAAGCTATACGTTCTATCTACAGATTACACCACAAAACCTAGAATCTTATCTGGAAGCTCTAACTGTGTACATCAGAGCAAAAACGCACGCTCATGCAATTCTACAAGCTGCATCTGACTATGTCAGATGAGCTAAAAATAGTGTTTAAGGACACACACAAAATACGCTACACACATAAGGCACTGCTAGCAAGTGATGTGCAACAATAATTACTTTCACCTCAACAGGTTGGCTGAATTCGTTCAGAGGCATAGGTGCAGATGGCTTTCTTCTACCAGGAAGTGCTGTTTTATGATGATAAAGATCTGTAAAGCAATACAATAGTTCCCACAAGAAAAAAGCACTATGTAACTAAATAACTAGAGTATATATCACAGTATCTAAAGGAACGATATTAAAAAAATATTTTCAATTCATTTTTAATTAAATTAAATGTATAAATTCAAAAATACAAATCAGCAAATACCATCTGTCTTCCTCTTCCTGTCACCCCTGATCTGCAGTTTCTCCACATTCAGATCCTGTCCTATTACATTCGCAGTGGTACTTGAGATACGACGTTCTTGTGAATCATCCTACGAATGACGAAGCATTACACATGATTTCTCTTTGCTCTGTGCTTTTACAACTTCAACTACATGAACTGACTGATTGACTATCCGTTATATATACATGAAAACTAATTTATTTAAAATTGTTAGCTAATTAAAATTGTAAATCAAACATGAAATTGATTAATAATCTGGTTATTTTGATTAAGTAGTATGCTTGCAGGGGTTTTTCACATATTGCATTTATAGTGATGCATTGCCATTTGTTACATACTGGCAATAAATTGTGCAATGCAAAACCAACCAATTTAAACCCAGTATCATGCTTACTGCAAATATATTATAGCAAGTATGTGTATAAACATACATTAATTATATATAGACATAATATACACGTATATGGTTGGCCATCGTAATCAGAAATTAGTGCCCTTTTACCCAATCAGGGGCCTTGTTACACATAATTTAACCAAGAATAAATTATTTTTACTGCAGTAAAAATAATTTAACCGCTGCAAAATTATACCCCTTTTACCCAATCAGAAGCCTTAATTGTTACACATGATTTAACCACAGATATAGATGATTTGAACCGCAGTTAAATTATGTGTTACAATGCCTCTGATTGAGTGAAAGGGCTATAACTTTACCGTGGTTAAACTATTTCTACCGCGGTAAAAACAATTGTTTCGGAGTACGATGGCCAACCATACACGGTATGCATGTGAGCACACATACACACATATACATTATGGCTCCAAATTATGTTTATGGTCATTGTATTATAATAGTTAAATAGCTTTTTCATTAGAACTAGAAGGAAGTTTATACTGACCATAAAAGTAGCTGGATGGTAGTCATTATCATCTGAAGATGTTTTCCAAGCATGCATAGATTTTGGGTGACTGATCTCTGTGCATAAATAAACACTTAAATGTGCATGATGATATACATGAGAAATATCATAAACGGAAAAGTGTTAAAAATACGTAGCACTGGTCTGGCTCTTGATTTATATTTATGGCATCCTTGGGTAAAGGGTGAGACGAAAAATCTATTAGACATAGAAGTTGAGCTATTCAGTTCAATAATTATTGAAAACAACATGTACTTCCCGCTTATTGCAGCTTATTGTCCTTCTGCAGGTACAAGCAAAGCCACAAACTCTGCTGTTTTTGAGAGTTACCTTCTGATTTTCCACTGGAAAAAGTGTGGCCCTTCAGAACAGCTTCATACTTTTCCATATATTCATTTCCCAGATGGCGAGCTGCATCATCACTAATACTGCATAAATATAAAACTCACCTTCAAACATGAAAATAAACATATAAAACGCAGCTAGATGATGCATACAGTGGTGATATGGCTCGCTGACCACGAAAATTACAAAGTTCAAGCTCAAAATTGGATTGCTTCAAACGTCTTTATTTGCTTCCATTTGTGATG